TATTTTGCAGTCTGTCCTCAATAAATCATCGCTTCTCTGGTGAAGCACACAGTTGATATCGTCTAAAGTCGTAGCATCGCTTTTCTAGTTTGCTCAAACCACTTCTGTATTTTGCTCCATATCAGAGGCGAGGGCAGAATTAGGCAGATTTGGTGGCGCTTGTCAAAAGCAGCCGCTCGCTGGCAACATTGTCGATGGCTTCCTCTTTCGACCGCTGCTTATAAGCAGCTGATGATGATTTTGACGTTATGGCGTGTGCCACGGCCAGTTTAAATGAACAACTTGTAAGGGGTCTGATTCTCCCACTGACGAAATCGAGCTTTCCAGTTGCAGCGCAGAAGCAGTGTATTACATATTGCTGTGCCTTATTGTTTCAGCAGCGAAACAGCGAGAAGCTCTTTTCTGTACACCCGTCGTTCTGTTGTTTTGGCCTACTTCTTTCCTTTTAATGTGATATCGAGTCGAAGTGAGCGTAGCAGCTGGCCATTGTAATGATTTATCATATCAGGCCCGTTGAAAAGCGATACTGTTCTGATTGATGTGAATGGTGCGCCGACAATTTGCTATAAGAACGCCCTGAGGCAGCGAAACATGCGTGTCACTCACGCTATCGCCGATACGATGCGTCAGCTTGTTTACAATCGCATCTATAAGATGATCGGCTTTGAGCAATGCCCGCAGCATTTGCCAGTTGGTGAGTTCCAGTTCCTTTCAGTCATAAGAAGCCACAAGTTGGAGCGAGTTGAGACGGGGGCATGTGAAAGTACCATCTTTCGTTGTTGTAATCGCAGAAAAATGCAATAATTGGCCAGCGCACAGACTGCCTATGCGAAGATTCTTCCGTCCGAAGTGCGATGGTGATAAAGGCATCGGCTTTTCTGACACTTAGCACATTGATGATGACTGCTGCGAGCAGAAACAGACTGGATCACTAATGGGTAGGTTAGTCCCGAGCGGTGCAGGATCAAATTTTGATACACATCTCGCGTTCCTCTCCAGAATAGCAAGAAGCTAAATCACCAGCAGGAGAACAGCAGCAGTATACTGATCAGGAGACCGTGTAACTTCGGCAGCAGCAACCCTGTGAAGGAGGATGGAGGGAGCGGGGTCTGATCCGATTCTGAATTTGAAATCCATTTGCAGGTCGTTTGTTGATAAGAAATCATGGCAAAATTTGCACGCAGCACAGTCCGGAAAGTCATTTATTCTTTTATCAGTCCCTGCTTTATCAGCCAGTGGCACTGATTAATTGGCTGCTGGATGGACACGGCATCCGTGATTACGATTCCACCAAGCTGTACAGTCTGGATGAATTGGTTGAAAAATTCGAGCCAGATTTGTGCTTCAACAGCGAACGTCGCGGATTCTGCATCGTCGACCTTGCACGTTTGTTGCAGCTTGA